ATTTTTATACTGTTATTTTTTCTATTTTCATAGATTTCTTCGGTCATTTGTCTTCTTCTTCAAGAAGATCAGTATATTTTTCTATTGATGTATTTAAGTGGATGATTCTGATGTATTAAGGTCTGGAGTCAGACTTGATGATGTTAGTGCATTCATTTAATTAGTTTCGCTTTCAGTTCCAGTTCTACTTTCAAATTCCATTTTAAAATTTTGTAATTCGAATTCAGTAACTTGAATAATTAGTTCAATTATAGTAAATAAATGTGAATGATTCTTAATTGAAAAATTTATCAAATATACTTGATGCTCGAAAATCATTTTCTTTTGATAGATTATCAATAGAAGTTGACATTTCAAATCTCATACTGTTATGTCTTATTTCTTTTCTTTATTGCTCGTATTCTCATATTATACTCTGATATCACCGAGATAGCAACGTGATGGTATGACCACAGAACGGAACAAAAGAATAATCTCCCTTCGCATGGAATCGAACCATGCATCTCCTGCTTCCCGGGCAGTCGTATTAACCACTGTACTAGAAAGGAGTACTCATTATTCATTTCGTTCTGTCTTATGTTCGAAGGGGAACACTTCGAACATAACACATACGTTCATCTGATGATCGTTTTATTTCTATATTTGGTAATACAGGTGTATCGTCATCAGATACTAATTACATAAAATAAAATGTAAAAAGAAATATAAACGTACCGGCAAGTGAAATATTCATCATTTATTGATGAAAATGTTGAACTCGAGCGTTGTTTCTCAACAAATAGTAAGATATAGCAATCGTTAACTAATACAAATATCAAAAGTGAGAGAGCAGAAATGAATGAAATCATTATTGAAACTGTTTAATAAATCTATCCGATTGAATAATTATTCAGTTAAACAATGTTTCCATATGGAACTTTGCAAAGTGTATCAAAGTTTTCCTGATCGGTTTTGTTCTCATGTACTGTGTCAGTTGTTAACAAGATATTTTATCAAATATCTTCTGTTGAAAACCATCTCAATAAATGATTACTTGTCAGGAATCCGTTCAGTTTCTATAGCATTCTATAAAAAGTTTTTCAATAAGTTAGCAGACTGAGCAGTTAGAAGTATTTTATAGTCAAGTACAAAAACCCTATAAAGTATCCAAAAGTTTCTATGGCAAACTGGCAATAGAGTGTCCTGAACTCAGTACATTCACTAGGAAGATTATCACGAAATGTATTCTTTCGTGATTATTCAATATGAGAAAACTAGTTCTGCTGGTGATAACGTTGAATATGAATAGAAATTGAAAAGGATATCAATACTTAGTAATGTTCAGTTTGATGATTCCATCTGTAGATGGAGCCACATTCACAAATCTTAAATTAAAACTATTAAAAAAAACTAACAGTATGAGATTAATAAAAATAATTATACATGAAAAGAGAAAATCTTAATTTAATTTTAATTGAATTAATTATAAATAACTGACAGTTGCTAGACGACTATTTCAAGAAATCTAAATTCATGGTGTGTGTGTGTATATTTGTTTAAAATTTGTGGTAAAGTAACTGCTGTTTGACAGACTTGTTGTAATTCTGTTTGATTATTAACTTTTTGACATCATTCTTTTCTCAAAGAATGACCCATCTAGATCCAAGGTATTAATTATCTAGTATTTATTTTTCCATGTTTTTCATTTTCTTTATTATTTAGTTCATTAGCTACATATAATTCTCTAGCTGATCCTCATTTACAAAGTTACTTTAGTAACGAACATATTCGATCTCATTTAAAACATGCTGGATTAGTAAATTGATATTTTTGTTTTGCCTTAAATTTTATTGCAATAATAAAAAAAAAATAAATTTACATTTTTATTTAGATTTCTGGTCGAGGAGAGATCATATCTGAGGGTGAATATCGATCAAGATTAGCACGACGTGAACATGTAAAACATGTTCGACATATTCTTGCTGAAAATATTGTAAATCGGTAATAAGAAAAAAAAATAAAAGAAATTTAAATATATATTTTTTTTTTTCAATTGAAAATATTTAGAGCTGTTGATATGGAACGAACACGACAAGCTGAAATAAAACGCCAATATGAAATAATAGCAAAAGCAGCTTTAGTGAATAATATGAAAGTAAAAAAATTTATAAAAAATATTTTTTGTATAAATATCGATGTTTCTTAGGAATCGAGCAGACGTGGCGGAAATTTATCTGGATTAATGGTAAATTCAAATGATATGAATCTATTATCAATTGATTCATCTTGTTTACAACTACGACCAAAAAGTGCTAAGCAACAAAATGAAATGGTTTGTCTTTTCTCTTTTCTTTCTTTTTGTCTTTGGAAATAAATTTCAATTAATTCGTTTGTGTTAAAGTACAATGAACAAATTCGTATTCCTCGTTTACAATCGGCTCATTCTAGCGATGATCATCGTGTAAAATATCCATCCAAAACTCTTAATCGTCGTCGTCATCGTCGTCGATCTTCTCAACGACCAAAATCATCATCAACAGTAAAATATTTTTTAATTAAAATATAAAGAATAAATTCTTCATTTTGTTTTTTTTTTTTGTCTTTTATTAATCAAGCAACGACTTCATTCATTAAATAAATATACCGATTCATCTACGTCATCCCCGTGTCAAATAACAATGGTTTATTATGGTCCACATACAAAAGTTGATTATGATCATTTAGTATTTGAAGAAATTGATGAAATAATAGTTATGCAACAACATTGTGGAGGAGAAAATTTAATTGTTTATAAAAATTATCTTAAACCTGGAGGTTTAGATTTTTTATGTTTTTGTTTTCTTCATCTATTTTCGACATTTATTTAGCTGTATTTACATTTGAATCTCATCGTCATTCAGATTATCCATTTGGTTTATCGTTATATGTTAAAGGTTTAATTGATAGTCGAATTTCAACATGTTGTGAATATAAACATCGTCATGGTGTTAGATTAGGTGGTGATCGAGGACATTTTGCAATTAAATCAGTACATGGATCAAAACCATGTATTAAGTATGTTTTAAATAAATAAATAAATAATTGATTATATGAATTTACTTTTTCTTCTTTGTTTCTATTAAGATGTTTGTATGAGAAACAAGCACGTTTAAAAAAATATGCTCAATCACCAAAAGAAAAAGATGATGAAAGTAAACTACCAATAACTATTCCATTACCTATTTCAAATGAACCAAAAATGATACAAACTCCTGTAAAAATACCTGTTAGACATATTGGTGTTGATAATAAAAAAATAAACAATGAACCTGAAAAACAACTCTCCCGACGTACATCTAATTCAAGTAAATTTCGTTAATATATTTAATTTCAATAATGATTATTTATTTAGATGAAAATTATGTAGAAGATTTTGATGAAACAGATACGCAAAAACGATCAGTTAGAGATGAATCTTCAACTGATTCAAGTCATAGACGTTTACATATTAGTAAACGAAAATCTAAATCAACTGATTCTACACCAAAGGTTAGATTTTATTATCTTATTATTATTCAGAAAAATTTATTGAGATTAATGGATTATCTTAAAAGCACACATTTTCTTTTTCATATTGAAATTAATCTTGAAATATTTTCATATATAATAGATTTCTTTTCCAAAATAATTTTAAGATGGAAAACTTTATTTCATAATTATACGAATAATTATTCAACATGTAAAAAAAATACGATTGCTCAATATACAGATTAGTCTATTTTTTTCAAATGAATAATCTTCAAAATGACATTAATATAAATTCTTCCTTGTCATCTTGATTGTAATATTATTCTATAAACATATAAAAGTGAAGATATTCATCAGATATACAGGTAAAATCATTCGTTAGCGACGTGACATCTGAAACTTGGAGTATGCATATCTCGGCACTATCAACTAGTTTAGGTGTGATTTTTGAATGGTGTACGAGTCTCTATTTACTCTAGATACTATGAAAAAAACAACACACTAGAGCTTTGTTCAGAGGAGTTATTAACGAAAAACTAGCGTTAGCGACGTGACACCAAAAAGGACATCAAAAGTCACTTGATATACTTTGGTTTTTAAAAATTTCTAAGTGTTGCACAATTGTCAAAAACTTAATACGCGATACTAGACACCACTCCTAAGGCCACCAAATCCCAGTGTAAAATTATTTTGAGAATGTTTAGGTTTTTAAAAAAAAAAAATCTATTTGGCGTTAGCGACGTGACTGAGTACGACTACACTACTGATCGAATGCTCTGGTAACGAACTGAAAAGTTCGAAAGCGATTCCAAGGGGCTCATATTAATGGTAGGAGGTCCTAGAATAATACTAAGACAAACATTTCCATTTCCGCTCTGTCTAAGGGCTCTGAAAGGTCGATTTTTTGGAAGGAACTTTTTGAAGTCCGATCTCGATGAAAATTTTACCATATATGCGGCTCATACCCTAGAACCAATCCTGAAGTTTTCAAGTTTTTTCCTCATTCGGTTCTCGAGATATTCGCTAATTACTTCTTAATTAGTTAATTATTAATTAAATAATTAAATAATAATCATATGAAAGAGCAGACAATTTTACATAAGCCTATGCAAAAACAATTCACTCAAAACATCTATACTGATAGAGAATTGCATTCAAATGCAATGGGGGAATGTCCCGTTTTCGCTGATTTTACCCATATACTAAAATCGTAGATCAAAGATTTTTGCATCAGATTTTTATTTTGAGATATCTTTCAGAGCTATTTACTTACTCTAAATATAAGAACATTTGAATGATACAAATAACCGATCATTACTTTTGATTCAACAATTATTTACAGATTTCATTATTTGCTTTTATTATAGCATCTCTAGTACTTTAAGGAGAAGACATAAGCAAAATCGATTTAGTTCAAATTTGTATTAAATTATCTTTTCCTTCATAATAATATTACTTATTTTCATTAGACTTTACACAGAAGAAAATTTTACATTTAGTTTTGTATTTTTTGTTCGTTATTATTTATAAACTTTTAAAATATCAACAATGCTCTTCATTATATTTGTTTATATTTAATCGTCTTAAATCTTTTAGGCATTTCGAAAAATATTATCACATACTCAAAAAGAATCATCAATAAAATCTGATTCAAATGTTGAAGAAACTACAAGAGAAGAAGAAGAATCAACAAAAAAAACTTGGCAAATTATTTTTCATACATTAAATAATTCAAAAAAAACTTTTAGCAAACAAACAAATTATTTACCACAAAATAGTTTATTACAATTTTCATTTTTAGCAAATAATAAAAAAAATGAAACAGATATTCATAAAATTGATATGATAGAATTAACAAAAAATTCAGAATCATCTGGACAATGTACATTTTCAACTAAACTTAAAAATATTGGAAAACCAGAACAAATTCGATTAAAAATTCACACGACAGATAACGAAGATGAAGATGAAGATGAAGATTATAAATGGTATCTTGATTATGTATGTATAAATGTAAAAACAAATATTTGTTGTATTCCATGTTTTATCCAGATTTTTACTTTCGAAGTACTGATTTAAAATTCCGAGAGAATGAATATCTACTTTTCGAATGCATAGACACATTGGATGTCGTAAAGTAAACGCAAACTCTGGAAGAGTGAACCCTATCTTCATAGGAGCATTGCTCCTTCGAATACCACGCTGTCTAAAACACTGATTGTATTGATATTTATTTGCTTTAGATTGAAGTCATTGATCCAGAAACTCAATTTCGTTTAGAATTTCCATGTGATCAATGGATTCGTCCATCACAAGAAAAAATCCTTCAACTTTCTCAAGTACGTTTTTTTTCCAATATTTTATTAAAGACGAGTGTTAATCAGTGTAGAAAACTTTACCGGAAATGGCAGTTGTTTCACAAATGAAACCCAATTTTTCGAGCCCATGTATTTTTTAATTAAAAACGAATGATGAAACGGGATGATACATAAAAAACTTTAGTACAAATTAGATGTTAGGTGTGGTTGTGGCTCTGATAACTTTTTTATCTTTCAATACGAAATTGAAATTAGAATCAAAACCGGTTTCTGCATATCTCTGACTATAACAGAATTTAATCATGATTGTCTTTTCATTGCAAATTGAGATATAAATCAATCGACGAAATCCGATCGAGACTGTAAAAATTTTGATCTATGTTAGAAAAAGCTGCTGCACCAAGAATATGTAAAATATAAAATATTTTATCTTCACAATGTACTTTTTGCTTAAATCTTTACTTTTTTTTCCCTCATTTAAAAACTTCCATTTCTGCATTGTCCTACGCATTTAATGACAAATCTTGAGAAATGTTAATCAAATCTTTTCGTTTAAATCAGAATGAAATTCATTACGTCTAGAGGAAACCAAAAAACAACTTGATCCTCCATATCTTTAATTGCGTCGGATAATAATACTTACAGAGTATTTCCACGGGGAAATATTGCTTTTTCCATTTCAATAGAATCTTTTTCAGAATGAACGAAAACGAAGAAGTTCTGCAAGTAGTTCAAGTTCATCTTCAAATGATAAAAACCATCAACCGACTCCAAAAATTGAACAAAAACGAAAAACTTCTACAAGTAGTTCAACATCACTTTCAAAGGATAAAAATCGTCAAAAATCTTCAAAAATTGGACACAAACGAAAAACTTCTACAAGTAACTCAAGTTCACATTCAAATGATAAAAATCATCAAGAATCTCCAAAAATTGAATCAACAATCAAAGCATCTTCTCGTTCAAGACGATCATCTAGTTCCTCAAAACAATCCCAAACTAAAGTTGATTCAGCACGTCAACATTCAGTAGATAAACAATCAAATGAAAGTGAAAAAACAACACCTCGTAATGATATTACTAATCAAGGTTAATTCAATCATTTGTCTATTATTTTTCAATTTGAAAACTTTGTTTTTTTAGAAAATAAAATTCGTTATCGTGTTATAATTTATCCATCACATGACAATGATGGAGAATTTAAGGCAATTCAAGATAGTCAAATGTTTTTACGTCTTAATAATCAAACTAAAGAAATAAATATAATAGATAAAACTGATCAATCATGTCCAACATTTGATTCAGGTGAAAAACAAGAATTTGAACTTGATTTAATACAAGATATTAATGAACAACCAGAGAAATTAACTATTGGTTATATTAATTCTGATGATACAGCAAAACAATGGAAACTTGAAAAGGTTTGATTTCATTTTTTTTTTTTTTTTTTTTTTTATAAATAAAAATGATATTTGAATTTTTATTTTAAAGATTATTTTAATTAATATTAAAACTGGTGATAAAACAATATTTCCATGTAATGAAAGTCTTATTCGAAATGAATCAAATTTTCGTGCTGAAAAAACATTTGAAATTCAATCAAAAGAATTACATGATGAAAGTAAAGTTAAATATTTTTAAATAATATTCATTTCATTTAAATATTTTTCAATATCATTAAATGTATTAAAATAGAATATTTTTGATTTAATTAAATATTGATTTTTTTCAAGAATTTTTTCAAGTGGAAAACCTTTACGAACAAATATTATATCATTTTTTCTACTATGAATACATGAACAATAATCATTTTTACCATCACCACAATAAATCATTCGAGTATTAGAATCAGCATTTTTCGAACGAATATCATCGATTATTTGACCTAGATTTATATTTAAGATTAAGTTTTAGACGTTTAGAGAATCTTAAAATGATTGAAGTTCTTATTGAAATGTAGGGCTAAGCTATCGAATCTTTAATATGTCTATTTTCTGAACTCCCAGGTTTTTGTAAAACTAGTATTTTCGAATTTCGATCTGAAACTTTATTCATATAGAAAACCCGAGTAAACAAACTTCTATAAAAAAGATTCAGAAGTTTTGAACAAAGTCTTTTTTGAGATCTGAGACTTTTAAAATATAGATTCTTTTCCACGGATGATGTGTTCAACATGCATTTAAAATCTTGATATCTCGCAGAGACTTTACTCGAAAATTTTGAATTTTTTTTTTTTTATAGAAGATAATCTAGTTGAGTTCTGTATATTCTAGAGTCCTGCGGTTCCTTAAAATTTTATTGAAAAATTAATTTCTTCAAAAGAGAAAACAAAAATAATGAGACTATGAAAAGAGTGTGCTCAGTGATAGTCTCTTCTTCTACACTCAAACTTACATCCTAAATGGCTCTAGTGATCAGTAACAAAAAGTTTTCAATTCTGGATATAAGAAATTGAAAAATTTCGATTCCGATTTGATTCTTTTAGAAACTTTGCAGCTCTTCGATATGCGCAAAGTTTCAGATCAAAATTCGAAAATATGGGATTTCCAACAATCTAGAACTTCTATAAAAATGGACACACTAAGAATTCGATGGCTTTGTCAAATATCATTAGAAACTCAAATTCTTTAAGAATTTTTATTAGAATACTATTTTATATTTATAGACAAAAAATTCATTGAAATCAGACGTGGACACCTGAAGAAGTTCTCTCGGAAGTTAAAGTAAATTAGTTTCACATGAAACCAATATACAGTAAAAACCTTACTAATGTAGGCACTATTGCTGTTATCTAATATTGTTTTTTTTTTCTGTTAAATATCCACAGCTAATGTATTCCTTTATCCTATATGTCCCATGATTGTTTATCATAACATAATAGACATCGCGTCAATTTTCTCGTTCTGTATTTGAGTGATCGAACATATGTTTCTCACATTACAGAGGTTGGATCAGAAATAAGCACCTACTGTTCGGAATAAGAAGGTGTTCATATTTGAGATGCTTATTCGTAGTAAAACTCACTTGGACAGACTATAGACAGTTGAGTATAAGAAGTGCAGAAGCCATGAAAGTGGGGGTACACTCACCCAATAATTGAAAATTATTCATTATTACTCAATAAAACTATATGAGACTTTCTTATGCACTTCTCTTCGATCTTGAGATCCTAGTGCGGCTTCTGGAAAGGTGCTTACATATAGAGGTTTTACTGTAGGTGAAAACATGAAATATGTTTTCTTTTATTTGAAAAAGTTTCTTTATTATATAAGAATACAGTTTCTGATCAAATAATCATTTAACTCACCAGATTTTTTTTTGTTCTAATAGACTATTTGAGACAATCTTTTATAAAAAAAAAGAAAAGTACCTTTACACATATTTGGTGGACATCCATATTGACAATGAAATGATTCTATTTTTAGTTTATCTTTTGCATAATTTTTTATTTTTAATTGTTTATTTTTCATCCAAATATTTGGATTACATATAATTTCATTAAAACAATTTATTAAATTATATCTTTGTAAAACATTATATATAACTTCATTATATCCATCTGATATAATTGCTAAAAACCATCCTAAATTATAAATTTTTCTAATAAAATCTATAGAACCTTGAACAAATGAAATATTTTCATATTGTTTTAAAATTTGTTCAAATGTTATATTTAATTGATTAAGTTTTTTATAAAATTTATCCATTCGTTTAAACCATAAATGATCTTTTTCATATTTTAATTGAATTTTATTTATAAATATTTTATCTGAACATAATTCATCAAGATATTCATGAGAATTTTTTTCAATTAATGTTGCATCAAAATCTGTAAAAAATATATATTTTATCATTAAAATAAGAAATAATAATAATAATAAAATACGCGCTGTTTTAGGTATATCAAAAACTCAAAAAATTAATTCTCCAAAATCTGATCATGATGAAGAAATCAAAACATCAGAAAGACAAGAACAAATTAATAATAATAAAAATAAAGAAAGATCACCTTCATTTCAAAGTATGAATGATGATGATGCCCATTATAGAGCAATTTTTAAAAAATTAGATCCAGATAATCAATTAGAATTAGGTTCACCTCGAAATAATTCTTCATCTTCATCTACAATTCAACAAGATCAAATTAAACATGAAAATAACAATCATACTATTGATCCTCTTATTGGTCTTGATGGTCTTACAGATCAAACACCTCGTTCAAATGATCAACTTAATTCCAATTCTTTCCCACGTACAACAAATGAATATGGAGAAAATCGATTTCGAACAACGAATCGAACCGATAGTATTGATGATGAAGACAATTAGAAAAAAAAAGAAATTCTTTCACTTCTCTTTTTATCACATACTAACAGTTTTTTTTTTAGTCTCAATTTACAAATACACTACAAAATGTTATTTTTTCGTTTTTTGTTTGATTACTTCTTCTAGTTTGTTTTTATCAATAAATTCTATATAGATCACATTGTAGAATTAAATATTCCAGTTACATATGGAGGCATATAACCACGCCACTAGAAATTAAAAGTAAATAAAAAACAAAAGAATATTAAAATTAAGAAACTATACTCGATCAATAGACATTAAATAAAATTCATCAGGACAATCATCATATCCTTTAATAAGTGCATTGATCATTGTTTTTGGTATACTACGATCAGGTATTATTACATGAATTTCATGATGAATCATATCAATTGAACGAATAAATCCTAAGAGAATAAAGAAGATTTAAAATTCTTAATGTTAGAATAAAACAAAA